CATAAAATGGATCATAAAGATCTGTAGGCTTGAAAGAAGAAAAAGGTTTTTTTTTTTATTAACAATATCTGATTTATTTTCTGTAAAGAAGTAAAATTTTCTGCTGTGCTACATTATTTGATTCATATGTGGAAGTAAATCTCACTGGATGTGTTAAGATTTATTTCAGGGAAATATATGTAACTCTACAAGTTGCTCTATCTTGCAGGTAATCAGTTAATAAATACACAGATCATTCATTTTGGATTATTAAGCAAACAGGTAATATTTGGGAAAAACAAAGGTTGAAATGAAAAAAGGGGTAGTTTAGGGGGAGGGGAGACCCTCTGTAATAGTCATTTTTGAGTACATGAATGGAAATGAAAGACCAAATGTGCTAATTTGAGAACTGAATATAATTTGATAATAAAAAGTCCACACTCTCACATCATGTTAAATTTATGAAGATGACATAAGAAAATCTTCACTGTTTAAAAATGGGCAGTGAAAAGTATAATATTTTTAACTATTTTTAATTATTTTGTAAACATTTACAATCAGTCCATGAATGACTGGTACAAAAGTTAACTAACTTTATGGAGCTGTTAAGATACTTTGAATGTCCTTATAAATAAATTAGTCTTTGGTTTGCTTCTTAGTTATTGGCATAAACTGAATATGGGTATAATTATCAAAAGCAGAAGTATCAAAAATATGCTCCAGCATTTTTGTTTTAACTATAGCCTTACCATTAACTGAGGAACCCAAATGGCGAAGGAAACTAGTGGCAAAGCTTAACCCAAATCTAAATTATTCTGATAAAATTAATGCAAAGTGTAAGAGGACTCTGTGTTTCGGTTGGAACTGAGTGGCATTAAAATCAAATAAATAAAAACAAATAGAATTTTTTTTGTTGGCTGGAATTTCAATTACTCCTAAAAATGGGAAAACAAAAACTTGAGTCTGTTCATTCTGCAGTATCGTCTGAATGTTATATGGGCTGAATGGCTTAGAAGAGGATGTATGTTTAGATACAATGCTGTATATGGCTCAACATTATATGTGTGTGTAGTCTTTGCTACTGCAATTTCAGCTTTTAACTGCAAGCACTTCATTGAAATGTTGAGTGTGAATAAGCAGTGTCCATAATGACAGCAGAAACTGGATGAAGAAAAATGTTATTTGCGTTTAAGAGAGAATCTGATAGAATTTACATGATGTATTTTCCTCTCTTCTTAGTCAGCGTTTCTATTATTCTGGGCTGTTCTGCATGGCAGTCTTAAGATGTTTGTCTCTTGTGCAACTGATATGGTTCTCGGGATTTCAATCCATCCCTCAGCATTGGCATTTGATGCCATCTGGGAATTCTGTATGGCTGGTGGCTCCCATGGCCCCCAACTGGTAGATTTCCAAGCTGCTTTTCCCTTCCCTTCTGTGCTGGGAAGGCAAGTGCTAATTACATTCCTTTTGTGGGCAGGTCTGATGATATACACAATTTCATGAGCCCCCTTTATTGATTCCCTACTATTTGAAACTTCTGAATGTTTCCATCCTGTTCAGTTGATCCAACAGCCTTCCCAGGACTGCTGGACGTTGTTTGTTCATGCACTGGGTATTTCACCTGTTTGGGAGAGCGGGAGAGGACACTCACTAGAGTCCACCTAAAGGGAATGTGTATTCAGCTTGCACAAGTTCACCACAGCATTTGGCTATTTTTGGACAGGTTTACCAGTCTTACAGAACACTCGTAGGCAATCTTATCATTCTTGTCACTTAAGTGAGAAGAGGAAACTAGCAGAGGTCTTGCAAACTTTACCCCAACTGCAGAATATTTCACTTTAATAAGTATTGCAAGGGAATGCTGCTGGCAGAAGCAGTCCCAGCACCTGGAAGAATTCCATGGAGTACACAAAATGGCACTATTTCACGGCATTTATGTAGAATTGGTGATGAAGGGGGAAAAGTCCATCATTTCTTCCTTATGAGATGGGCGGTGTCCAAATTTGAAATATAAATAAATAAAATATAAATTTCATTTGTTCACTGGTGAACCATATCTATATGCCCTGTTGATACACCAGTTACAGAGAACTGGTGCTACAGAGGACCATTTACTGGAGATACAGAAAGGACTCAGACAATGTCCAAATCCTGCCTGGTGAAGTTTAATGGGCTTCAGGATTTATGTGGGTGTGTTTCTCTCCTCAGGTGCAGGCACCCCAAAAACAGCCATGAAGAGCAACAACCAGTGACCAGATGAGAGGCCATGCCAGTAGCTCCATAGAGCAACCAATAGGAGCATAGTTGTTGCCTGAATCAAATTAAAGTACAGCAGAGAAACCACATGGCTGTATAAGGCCAGCACAGATTGCAAAGAACCACTTTTGAAGTGGACCAGGAAAGTGTGCTTGCAGACTGCCTCTGTGCTGGAACAGAAGTTTGCTGAGGTTGACACAGTCCATTCAACCCTCTTGAGGTTAGCGACTTATGCAAAAGAGCACTATACCAGTGAAGAACCCATTGGGAAAAGTATATTAGTAGAGATGCCTGTGATTGCAAATATGTGAACACAAATGCACATTGCATCCCCTTAGGTTCACTTGTGTCTTCATAGATAGTGATAAATTCAGGAGGACATCAAAATGGCAAACTTTATCCTTTATAAGGAGCGCAAATCCATCCAAGATGGTTTTCCCTTTCCACAATACATCCCTCTTTTCTATATTAAATGGCAACTTGTTTTGTACTCAATCCCCAAACTTCCTCCTTTCAAAAACTCCACAGATCTCTGGAATTGGTACCTGAAATTAGAGGCAGAGCAGGGTTTTATCTGCATGGCAGTTACATAGTAACAAAACCTTTATAATGTTTCCCAATAATTCCATTAAGATATTGAAAAATATGGGGATAGGCCTGAATATGAAAGCATTCCATAATTCACAAGCCATAAGGTGGAAAATTGGTCCCCGCAATTCCATCTTCCTCCAGAAAAGACCAGAGCTAGCTTAGCACTGTACCTCAATCCATGTAGGGCTGATGCCAAGTAAATAGTTCAAAATGGTACAATGGTGTTATACTGAAAGGTCTAGGAGAGCTATTGCTGCCCTTCATCTATTGATGATGAGGTTGGTCACAAAACCCTGAGCTTCCTTTGACATCTTTCAAGATCATGTCCATCAACTTAGGCAGAGAGACCATTAGACAGTGGGATGAGTCTGACAGCAACACAATTGCTGTTGGAGTTCCCAACATATTTTCAGACATTTGAAAATGGCAACCAGTGGGTCCCTAACCATGGAGAGGAAATCCTTTGTAGATCACAGGCATCCTTCCTCTTTGCCTTTTGAGCTGTTCTTGGTATTACATTTAATAAATACATATTTTCTACTGGCTGACCTAGCTTTCAATAGCAGCAATCTTAAACTTCAGAGAATTGCAGACAAATCATCACATTAAACTTCAGTCATGGCTCATGTGTAATGATAAACCATGATATGTTTCATTTGTTTTGGCTCCGGCTATGTATGACAGGTACACACTATGGTAAGCATTATATGAGAATTCACAGTGCTAAAAAACCTGGTTTAGATTATAAGGAATAAACCAGTGTAGGATCAGGTTTCATACACTCTCAGCTGTGTTAAAAATTATAGCCAGTTTCCTTTTAACTGAGCAATACTTTCTGAATATTCCTGCTCTGCTTGTATTACTACAGTAGGAAGGAACCTGGGAGCAGAGAAGCACAGCTGGAACGAGACTTTTTATGAAGTGAGAAGATGCAAAAAGAAATATTTTAGCAAAATGTCCAAACTTTGCTAATATTGTTAAGTGTAATTGCATTTGATATAACACTTGCTATCCTATAAACACATCTGCTGCCTAGAGGAAAATTTGCAAAATCCCAGTTCCAATTCAGAGCAAACAGAAACCTAAGAAAAATCAATAGACATACATTACGTACAGATCATATGTAATGGCTTATTACATATTATTTTTATTATAACAAACATGCAATACTTTGGCAAGGTTTGTCTTACTTGCAGTAGACCTTATTTCAAAGCTATTTTATATAAACCACATCCATTTGGGAATGCTCTTTGCACCAAACTCTTATAATGCTCCGGATCCCCGTGGTAAAAGAACTTCGATTAGCAGGGTCCAGAAGGCGGGCCTTCTCTGCTGTGGCCCCCGCCCTTTGGAACGTCTTGCCCCCGCAGGTGAGACAGGCCCCCTCACTCCAGGCCTTTCGGAGGGATTTGAAGACCTGGCTCTCCTATCTGGCCTGGGGCGGGGAGGGAGGATATCAGAAATGGGGTTGGCTGGCCCCTTAGCAGCCTGTTGCGGCCCCCATTGGCCTCTTGGATTTTTTAGCTTTTTTATTTTTTAATGCTTGGTTTTTATAACTTTTAAATGTATTTATGTTTTTCGTGTGTTGTAG